GTTGAAAATACAGATAAGTATAGAGTGTAAGATTCTACTGTTTACTATAATATATATCACATATGAGTTGAAAATACAGATAAGTATAGAGTGTAAGATTCTACTGTTTACTATAATATATATCACATATGAGTGGAAAATACAGATAAGTATAGAGTGTAAGATTATATTGGTTATTATTTTTTATATCCTATAGAACAGAATTCTGAAATTAGTTATATAATTACTCTCTCTCTTGCACCCTAGTGGCACAGCGGTATTTCTGCGGACTTACAACGCTAGAATCCGGGTTTCGATACCCGTGGTGGGCAGAGCACAGATAGCCCATTGTGTAGCTTTGTGCTTGATTACAAACAAACAAACAAATACTCTCTCTCTATCTCAATTTGCGTTTGAGTTTAATACTCTTTTGTGTAATTTTATGATTTTAAATATTATTTAAGTGAGTTCTTTTGTGTAGTTATCATTAAAATAAAATATTAAAAATGAAAAAACTGACGGGCTTGAGAAAATTCTACACCAGAGGATAAACAATAGTCTACTTAGTTACGCTTGTTCACTGAAAGAATACAGCAGTAACAACAAGTCGCGTCTGTTATTGGAATCAATATATAGATGCTCTCTACTTGCAATCATCATATCGATACAAAACTTGCATCGCAAATAAAATAGTTAAGAAAAAGAATTTAGGGTTAACAAGCATTAAATAAAGATTTAAGAACACAAAAAGTCTCGAAACTTTATTGCTTTTCAGAATAAGAACAAAACAGTAAGATATTTTTAGAGATACAGCAGATATAAAGAAGACACTCCTTGATATTCGGCGTTCGATCACAAGACATAATTAGAACACCAATGCATAGCTACTAACCCAGAGATTATAAAAGAGCCATGGAAATGTAAGCTGGTCACTACAGCCGAATTGTGATGATCTTCTAAACAGTTCATATCTTTGGATCTTAAGTCGATTATGGGTATTTCAATGTTTGTTCCGGGGATTATGCACGTGCTTCGTCTTGCTAGATTATACACATAGAGAACCGCATCAAAATGTAACATCTGGACCCTTAAAGTTTCTCGCATCCATCGCCGTAACCAATGAGATAGCCAGATGAGGTCACAGCCACACTTCCAAGGGTTATTTTCCAACAAGACACCTCCTATTGACAAAAATACAAAAATATCACGTTGCTATTATAATTCGGTGTTAAACTTTACTAATGTTTACCATTTCGCTTCTTTTCCTTTCAGTTCATATATGTATATAAAGGCACAGACTGCATTAACAAGTGTATATTTTTTGAGGTACTGATTACTGAACGAAAATATTCGTAGTGAATATGTAAATCTAGAACTCATCAAATTCGAGTGTGACTTAGCGAAGACATGGTTTCAGCTTCTGCTTTTACTTATTCCTTCTTCTGCACCACTAAGTTAAACTGATCTGCATCATTAAAACCATCGCATGAATTAAAGAAAGTGGCTTGACAAAAACATTCACTTCTTGTTACTACTGGTGTGAATGAAGTTTCCGTCCAATAGATAAGTAAAATGTAGATTAAAACTTATGACGATCTGCTATGCAGGGCTTTATTGAAACACGGAAGTTGTGATGATAATGAAGAGACTTTCAATACATAATGTAGGTTGGGATATATTCTTCTTTATACGGAGAGATGTAGAAAGCTTGCTGCAAGTAATAACAGAGATATATACATTTGTGCATTAGTCTAACTTCACATGTTCTGATTATATGATGGTAAAAAGAAAAGTGACGCATTTTTGTATAATAAGTTTAGTATTTGCAAGAAAATATTAGCTAACTAGAAGTGACGTATAGACTCTAATCAAGTGTTTATCAGTTTATGTTTCGGAGTGACGTATAGACTCTCTAATCAAGTGTTTATCAGTTTATGTTTCGGAGTGACGTATAGACTCTCTAATCAAGTGTTTATCAGTTTATGTTTCGGAGTGACGTATAGACTCTCTAATCAAGTGTTTATCAGTTTATGTTTCGGAATAAAACACACTAGCTTTAATACAGTATAACAGTTGAAAAGTATATAAAGCAGTCAAGATTCCAATCATTCGAAACTGGGCAAACATATTATTGTTATCATTGGCTTAATATGGGGGTCGTTGTAAAAGCTTGTTCTAAAACGGTCTTTTAGTCAACACAAGCCTGGGTTATTTAGGGATGGTTTTGGATCATATGTTGTCGAAATTAGCATTAATAAACATACGAACATTTAATATTTACAATTCAATAGTAAAGTCATTGAAAATATCAGATCGTTAATACCCTACAATAATCACTCAGTCTGAATATTTTGGTGACAAAATAACCAAACCACAACACGTATTAAACTATCACCTCTTATCCTTCAACGTAATACAACGACCGAAATAAACCAGATAAATACTAAGTATAATATATATATCTTTCTTCTATCTTAATATCATTCTAAGTTTTACCCCCAGTGGTACAGCGATATGTCTGCGGACTTACAGCGCTAGAATCCGGGTTTCGATACCCAAGGTGGGCAGAGCAGAGATAGCCTATTGTGTGCCTTTGTGCTTAATTACAAACAAACAATACAACACTCGCATTAGAGAACCAACAAATAAAACCGCCTATTTTCCATGTAAGATACACAGGGAACACCAGCATTAACTAGTAGGATGAAATGAACTATTAATGGGATTTCTGTTTATATATACATATTTTCGTTTGTTTTTGAATTTCGCGCAGGGCTATCTGCGCTAGCCGCCCATAATTTAGCAGTGAAAGACTAGAGGAAAGGCAGCTAGTTATCACCAAGTCTTGGGTTACTCTTTTACTAACGAATAGTGGGATTGACCGTTACATTATAACGCCCCCACAGCTGAAAGGGCGAGCATGTTTTGGTGTGACAGGGATTCGAAGCCGCGACCCTCAGATTGCGATTCGAGCGCTCTAGCCACCTGGCCATACCGGGCCACATATTTTTTGTTACTTATATATTATTATGAACTCTGTAGCCTACAAAATCATGTACCTACAAGCAATTTTGTGCATAAATGGTTTTAAAAACCGACGGGTAGCCAATGGTTTCCTTGGGTTAACCTACATACACACACCTGTTATGTGTTTGGTTCCGTCAGGCCCTCCTGTTTCCCCTTCTGCTGGTTGAAGAACGCTTGGCTTCATTTTCTCTAAATGATTTTCTCTTAAATCTAAAGTCAAATATCTAATATCCGCTAGGTAGCGCAGTAGTTGAGAAGGTAGTCGGGTTATACCCGTACCGGTAATTCGTAGAATGAGTTCATGGGTATGATGCAAACCTAGGAAGGCATCGGGTAACACGTGCTGCAAATTATGACCAGTAATGGTAAGATCGCGCAGCTTGGCACCAAACGTCCATTGAATGTGATGTGACAAAGTTGATTCTTCGACTTCCACTACCACGCGGCGGAGCGAAGCGGATTTGTGAAGAAGGTCATGGAGACGAAACGATCGAACACCAGCGTAAGTGCCTGTCTTAAACGTCTCCAGAAACCTGTTAATAGAAGAAACGATATTACAAAATTTATAACAAAAAGTAAAATAAAAGACCACACGCAAATGTTTGATATTTAACACGAGATAAAATAGTAAGGTAGTGACACTACATAGATCCATAAGTTAAGTATGAAGCTTCATGGTGATTTGATATTTTCATTCACAAATAATATTTCATATTGTGACGTAAATATTTGAACCCATCTCCCACCCCAAGAAAGATTATATTGCTACTAGGAAAACTTGTTTTTTTCTAAATGATGTAAGTGCACATTTTCTGTATAGCTCGCCCAACGTAGCACAGTCACTATCAAGCAGTGTGAAATAGAAAAGCTTATAATTTCTATATTTTAATAAAATGACATTAAAAAGTTATAATGTATAATCTTATAACGCATGCAACTAATAGCTATTTACAGATCTCCAGGAGTAAATTTTAGCTTGCAAAATTAGAACATTAGTGGGGAAGTTTAAGTTAAATAATAATACCCAACACAGATTAAAGAAAAGGATTTGAAACAAATCATGCTATATGTTGCTTCACAGAATATAAACAGTTTGGTTAAACTAAGTAGTAGTTTGACATTTTAAAATTTCGTTAGTTGTTGGAAATTGGAGGGTTTAGTTTGGGATGGATATTTGAGCAAAGTTGGACACGAGGTAGCAACATGTACCCGGCAAGGTTGTTGAGTACTTGTTTAATGTTCGGATAGTGTATTTGATCCTTGAATCTACTAGTGTTGTGCAACAGGGAACTTTTCTGATGTAGTAGGTAATACGGAAAGGCATTACAGTTGTTTTTTTTTAAAACGATTAGTAAACTTGGCATACTACAACAGAAAATATTATATTTTACACAATAATCATTCGTCTACTTTCCCTGCCCATTAACAAATGATCTGCAGCTATGTTTCCATGAGATCAGTCTTCAGAGCAGTCATATCATTGTTGTCCCATTTCGCTTGTGTTAGATCTACAGCTTCCAAGTACATGTTTATGCAGACTAAAGCCATTGCTGTCATCCAAGTTTATTCAGCCACTGATTTCGAGGTGTGACTAGAAGCTTCTAAGATTTCATCAACTTTAAAAAATCGTATATTAACATGTTTTAAAAATAATTAGGAAACCAATAAGCCTAGAGTGGGGCGAAGAGAAATCCAAATTTCTGACCACCCCTGGTTTTAAACCAAAATACCTGCCTCGATAATAATGATGATGTTAATGATATCACAAGATATGCCCACCTTCACCACATTGTCTCTTTGGACATGAATTGTTTTGTAAGTTTGTTTGTTTGTTTTGAATTACGCGAAAAGCTACACGAGGGCAGACTAGAGGGAAGGCAGCTAGTCATCACCACCCACCGCCAACTCTTGGACTATTTTACCAACGAATAGTGGGACACATTATAATGCCCCAACGGCAGAAATGGCGAGCATATTTGTTGGGACGAAGATTCGAACCCGCGACCAGCAGATTGCGAGTCGAGCTCCCTCGCCACCTGGCCATGCCGGGCCCGTTTTGTAAGCATACTTCTCATACGAATAAGGAAATTGGTTTTGGATTGACTTGAGGTGTGATTTCGAAACTCGTTGTTCCTTTAAGCGATCTGCTGTACAAGGGGTTCTTTCACGAAGAACATTGAAGACTTTTTTTGAAGTGTTGTATTCTTTATCATTTAACAAAGTCACTGTATGGTTTTCACCCTGTTTACAAGATAGTGGTAACATACCCTTTTATCCAGAGGTCTAGTTTTGTAGAAATTTTACAAGGTTTGTCAGCTTTTATATGTGTCAGGTGGTTTCCATCGCGTGACTATCATTATAGAACCATTCCTATATGTGCGGGTAAGTAGTTTTTAATTACGTGCGTTTACATAGTCTGTAACTAGTCCTTTGTACATCTAACATCAAGTAAGTTCTCTACAAGCTTCAGTGTCACAGTTATCAATCTGATAGATCTACACCATACGACCAAAAAGCATCCAATTTCCAAGCTGGCTTTATCCCGTGTATAAGGCATCCAACTTCTAGGTTGTCTTTATCCCGTGTATAAAGCATCCAACTTCCAGGCTGGCTTTATCCCATGTATAGAGCATCAAACTTCCAGGCTGGCTTTATCCTGTGTATAAAACATCAAACTTCCAGGCTGGCTTTATCCAGTGTATAAAGCATCCAACTTCCAGGCTGGCTTTATCCTGTGTATAAAGCATCAAACTTCCAGGCTGGCTTTATCCTGTGTATAAAGCATTCAACTTCCAGGCTGGCTTTATCCCGTGTATAAAGTATCCAACTTCCAGGCTAGCTTTATCCTGTGTATAAAGTATCCAACTTCCAGGCTAGCTTTATCCTGTGTATAAAGCATCAAACTTCCAGGCTGGCTTTATCCTGTGTATAAAGCATTCAACTTCCAGGCTGGCTTTATCCCGTGTATAAAGTATCCAACTTCCAGACTGGTTTTATCCCGTGTATAAAATCCTAGTCGACCTTTCATTACAGTTGCGCAAAAAGAAAATAAAAAAATGTGCCTGAATATTTTAATCTCTGTAGTTTAAAGTATATATTTCAAGTATTTCGGTGTGATTGTTGACTTCTTCATACTTAACTGAATAAAATGAATTAACTTATCTTTTACTGAATCTTTTACTCAATAAAAATTCAGAAAACACTTTCCACGCCTACCTTTGACATGCATTAATATACAATTTGCTAATAAATTTTTCTGAGGCCGACCCCCATTAAATTTATAACCAAAAGAAAGCCTAGATTTCAACTGATTCATTGCCGTAGTTGGCTTACAGATAACTAACAATTTCGTTTGATCTGAAAAAAAGTTTTCCAATGAGAACACACTGGGAAAAATAGTTGAATTTCTATCTGCTCAAGTCACATGATTAGAGATGCTTGAGTATCGGTATCAGCAACCTGGTACCACGGGTATTATTGCAAACCCTGATTCAGGTAATCAACAAGAATAATTAATTATGTCCCCCAAAAAAGATAAATCTACCCAATCAAAAAAATAGTTTAATTAACTATTTACAGGGATGAAAACATCACTTCTTTCAGTAAAGTTTCAGCCAAGTTAATGGGTTACCAGATTGAATGTAAATAAGTTCTTCAAGCTTATGGAAAGATAACCGTTACAATAATGCTTCAACTAAACTGCATATAAATTGTGTATGGTGTGCATGGCATCTCGAGTAATCTCCATTTATTATTAAATCTTCACAACCAGTTGGCTACGTAATCCAGTCTTGATCGGATCACAATGTGAAGGATGAGTTGTTTGATATATGGTGCCTGAATTTTGTTTTACCAACATAATTTGGGGGTTGAAATTTCTATTCTACTTTGGGTATCATATTCCACTTTCTTTTCACTTGCACAATAAAAACGGCCAATTGTTGATATCGGGATACAAGGTTTTCACACATAAAGAACTTAGGATCCTATATATTTACCACTTCATAGAACTGAATCTGTAAAATCTTATATAGAGATAACAAAAAATACATTTTCACTTGTTTGGAGTTTTGCACATTTTTGTAGTTTATATTATGCGGAATTCATTGCTAAATTTTGCAAATGTTTATAGATGTTGAGTAAAAAACACTAAAAAAACGAGAAGTTATAAAGATAAATGAATTCGTTATTATTTAAATTATAAACCAACTGTACTTTGTTCTTTGTTCTTTGTAATAATTTAATTAAAATTGCAAATTAGCTTCTGTTATACATATTTCGTATTGAGAATGACAGCGTGTAAGTTAGGTTTTTCATCTACTTTCTTACATTAGTCTCCCCGGTGGGACAGCGGTAAGTCTACGAACTTACAACACTAAATCCGGGGATTGATTTCCTGCAATGGACACAGCAAATAGCCCAATGTGGCTTTGCTATAAAACAGTTAATAAATCAGTTCTTACATTAGCACATGTTATTACTATAATTTGTATTTTCTTACTGGAAAGTCAATATTTCGATTCTGCTACGATCTACTTTATTATAATATTCAGAAGTTTTCAAATATTAAGACAGGCGGCGTTCGTATTAAATTATAGACTTGTTTAGGGAAAATTATAAATCAATTATAAAAATGGGATTTGCATTTTTGTTGTTGTTGTTGTTGTAATTACATGATTTCAGATGGCACTGTGAATCAAGTTTTATTTTGAGAAAAGCAAAAATTGGAAGATTTTGGATTTACAAAACTATTAAATATTAAGCTACGAGTGATAAATAATACTAAACTAGTTACAAATATTTGATTTGCTACACTATCTGGAACATACTTTAGAATTGTGCGTTTGTTTCAAAATTTCATGCAAAGCTACACAATAGCTACTACGCATAGGCGACTCTAATGTTGAACTGATAACTAGAGAGATGGTAGCTAGTAAACAACACCCACCGCTAACTTCTGAGTTATTCCTGTCTGATTGAATTATGGAGTTTGACCGCCACTCTTTTAGCGGACCCACGGCTCTAGAGTGCGTTATTCGCAAACCGTGGACCCCCAGATACACAGTCTAGGCACACTAAGCTACGCACTATCATATACTTCTGAATTTGTGTTTGTAGTTGAAGAGTGAAGTATCATACGCCGGATAATAGTGACGTCTTTGTATTATAGCGCTAAGCATGTTTATATTCTGAAAATTCGTGGGCATCTCCTGTATCAGGACTTACCCATCTGTGTTTAATTATTGAATATTTCCATATAAGGCTTTACCCATCTGTGTTTAATTATTGAACATTTCCATATAAGGCTTTACCCATCTGTGTTTAATTATTGAATATTTCCATATAAGGCTTTACCCATCTGTGTTTAATTATTGAACATTTCCATATAAGGCTTTACCTATCTGTGTTTAATTATTGAACATTTCCATATAAGGCTTTACCCATCTATGTTTAATTATTGAACATTTCCTATAAAAGACTTTACTCATCTGTGTTTAATTACTGAACATATACTATGAAAGGCTTTACCTGTCTGTGTTTAATTATTGAATATTTCCTCTAAAAACTTTACTCATCTGTGTTTAATTACTGAACATTTCCTATAAAAGGCTTTACTCATCTGTGTTTAATTATTGAACATTTCCTATAAAAGACTTTACTTATCTGTGTTTAATTATTGAACATTTCCTATAAAAGACTTTACTTATCTGTGTTTAATTATTGAACATTTCCTATAAAAGACTTTAACCATTTGTGTTTAATTATTGAACATTTCCTCGAAGGCTGTATTTATCCGTATTTTGTATGATTACTGAATTCAGAAAAACTTGAAGGAAACGTTTTCTGTTTGTCATGATTAATTTCTTTGGTTTTCCCCGATAGGTCAGCAGTAAGTTTAGACTTATAACGCTAAAACCCAGAGTTAGATTCTTCGTGGCACACAGAATGCAGATAGCCCATTGTGTAGTTTCGTATAAAAACAAACAAACAAAGAAATAACTTGTTAGAATCTTATGTACAAAAGTTTTAAAAGTTTGAAAGTCAGGTTCAACACAGAAAATATTCAAATGTCTCACAATTTAATGTTTTAGAATGCCACCTCGTGTTGTGTATGGAACGCAGTGTGTTACGAATAAGAAACAACTATTAAGGGTGATTTGTAGGTAACAGATTATTCTCTGCAATTATGGGGATTGACGTATCCATATTTTATATCCACCACAAATAACTTTGAAATGTAAATCGATTTTATTAAAAAAACGAATACCATGAGTAGTAGATTAATAAAGATTTTATTAGAAACAATGGGTAAAATAGCTCAATTTCGCAGATATATATATATATTACAAAACTTTATTGAACGTTACTCAATAAATAAATGAATTAGATGCTGTAATAAAAAGTGTTGTGCAAGTATACTGTAGATTATGTTTATCTTAATGTTAAACCTCATGTTCTACACAAATATAAAGTCAAATCAGAGGAGCAAGTTTCAGACTGATGCATGTGTAAATTTCTTACCTGAGTTCATACAGCGTTCGAGAATCCAAATATTTCAGGTTCAAGCCGCGCATGTCCAATTCCACCAGTCGTTTTAAACCGCTGAAACTTACAGTTCCCAGGACTTCAATTGGATTGTGAGAAATATCCAAGGTGTGCAAATCTGCCACATTATCCCACAAATGACACGGAACTTCTTGCATTAAATTATGAGACAAATCTAAATGGCGCAGATGTCGTAGATGGCGGAATGCAAATTCAGAGATATTTTTGAAAAGGTTATTTGCAAGTGACAATGCGTTTAGCTTTGATAACGGAAGAAAGGAAATGTGAGATAAATTCGTATTCTTTAAACTCAACGACCGTAATGACCTCATTTGGTAAAAAGGTGCATCGTCGAACCGCCGAAAGGAATTATGGGACACATCAAGGTTAATGAGTTGGGACAGGTTCCCTACCGCTAGATTTATTAGCTGATTCGAGGACAGGTTTAGATAATTCAACCTATAAAGAGGACTAATCTCATTACTATGGATCACGGCAATTTGATTAGTTGAAATATCAATAAACTGCAGAGTATTTCTAACTGGAAAAAAGCTCTTTAAAGGCGGAAGAACGAACACATTATGAGAAAGATTAATTTTTTCCAGTTTAGTTCCCACAAAGGCATTTTCTGGCAGTGTCGCTACCCTGTTATAGCTCATATCAACAATTCTAAGCTTTTGAAGGGCAGTGAAAGCCTCTGAGGAAATACTGGAAATATTATTGTAACTTAAGTTTAATATCTGGATAGAAGAATTGCCTTGAAAGTCCATAGAATTAACATACGCAATACTATTATGATCCAGTTGCAATATCTGAAGGTAGGTAGCTTCATTGAACACACTCGAAGGAACAACATTCAGGTTATTGAAAGACAAATATAAACGATGAAAAGAAATTTCTAAACGTTTAAAAAAACCCTGTGGGACCATTGATATGTTGTTGTGGCTCAGATCCAAAGTTTGAATATGAATAGTATCATCGATATCCCCATCACTAGAATATAGATCTAAGTGGCTGATATGGTTATTTGAAAAATTAACATGCATTGGGGAGTCAGGGTTACTGACATTGCTAAACATATTGAAGGAAAATCTGGATAAGTTGTTAAACTGTAAAAATACACTTGTTAAACGTGTTAAGTTGTAAAAAGCTGAAGGTTCTATAACACGAAGTCGATTGTGTGATAACACAATAGCTTTCAGCATAGGACAACTTGAGAAAGATTTGTATCGAACGATCTCAAGTCTGTTGCCTAGCAGTACCACGTTCCGGAGTCGTGGAAGTTCATTAAATGTTTTAGAATTTGTTAATAATACTTCATTGTGAGATAAAATTACATTAGATAGATTACCATGCGTTTCTTTTCTGAATAATGTCTGGGGAATCATCTTTATGTTGTTTCCCTCGAGGTCACAGTGGATCAGATTGGTTAATCCTAACATAATCGTGGGTGTTAAGTCGATGATCTTGTTGTGATCCATCTGAAGCCACTCAATCTTATCTAGATAGTTTGCCATCATTTCAGGATGATCATAATGGGATTTGAACAGTGATCCTATCTCCACAGCCTTCAACGACTTTCTAAGGGGAAACAGAATCTTGGAATCCATGTTGACAAGATTATTGTAAGAAAGTTTCAATTCTTGTATTTTTGGCGAGTGAAAAAACGCTTTCGCTGAAATGTAGCTGATACGATTATTAGCTAAGTTCAAGAACAACAAAGAGCTACCCCAACCATAAAGATCGTGTGCATTTACCTGTTTGATTTGGTTATCTTGTAAACTCAGGCTAAGAAGGCGTTTGGAAGTTACCAAACCTTCTCTTGGAACATTTTTTAGAAGGTTTCTGGAAAGATCTAAGACTTCCAAGTGCTCTCGAAACGTATATAAATCATACTTTTTCAGATCTGGAAGCTGATTTCCACGAATAGAAAGTTTCTTAAGGTCATTCAATTCTTTCAGTGCTTTCGGAAATGATCTCAACATGTTAAAGCTCAAATCTAAGGCAATCAGTGTTGCTTCTAAACCTTCAAAGGCCCCAACTGGTATGGAAGACAATCGGTTGTTAGCTAAAGATAGCCACTTGATAGAAAGACCTCGAAAAGCTCCCAGTGGCAATACTCTCAGGTAGTTATAGCTTAGATTTAGTTCGTATACTGAAAAAGAACCATTAAAAATATTGCTGTGTAATTTTGTCAAACTGTTCCGACTAAAATCTAATTCCTTTAGATGACGAACTGATAATTTCCAGTCTTTTGGAAGAGACGACAAGAGATTTCCGCCAAGATTTAGCCATATTAGATTTTTTAGATTAGAAAGTGCACCTGGTGGAATCCAGTTCAGTAGATTTTCAGATAAAGACAAATAAGTCAAAGAATCTGGAAAAGGATGCCCCTCTAACTTGTTGATGTGGTTGTTTGCGAGATCTAAGAATGTGAGGTTCCGAAGGTTTTCAAATACACTGTCTTCTATAAATAATATATGATTATTGCTTAATAGAATGCTAAGAATTGCAGATTGCGACCGTAGATTTTCAAAAACACCGCGTTTCAACTCCTCTACTTCATTGAACTGAAGGTTCAACCACTGAAGATAAGATAATTTCTGTAAAGCTTTAGCTGGAAAATTGTTAATATGATTGTAGCTCAGGTCCAAAGAAGTCATCACTTGTTCTGAGCTGTGGAAGGCGCGAAGTGGCAGAGTCACTAGATTGTTGTACATTAATCTGAGGGAAGACACAGCAGTGCCGACAAGCGAGTCATTGTACAACTCTGGAAGACCAGTTTTTGCAAGTGTCAATTGATAAACTTCCTTAAATGGGATCTTTGGAAAACTTAAAAATGGTACATCCACACAGCTGATATCTTGTTGCTTAGTAATACAAGTGCACAAAGGATTAAAACTACAGGACACTGATGTTGCAGATGCATGTACCAAAAATCCACACATGAAACCAACAAGTTTCCACTTGATAGACACCATCTACAAGAGTAAATAAAATCCTTATAAATATGAACTATTTGTTTACTTTTAATTCATTAATTCTGAAAACAGCTTAAGTTCTCAAAATAATGGCATTTAAATGAATAATTCTGATTCTTTTAGACTTGATTTTTCTTTATTGTTAATTAAAATATTAATAAAAAAGTTTAGAAAAAACGACTTTTATACTCCAGATATATATAAAAGTATTTAAAAAATTCTTAACCATCGTTTCGCCTTTGCAGCTTCATCAGGATACACAACTGTTTGATATTATTATTTGATATTCTAATATCACACACTTGTGTATGTTAACCCTGATGAAGCCGCAAAGGCGAAACGCTGGTTAAAATAAAAAAACAACATTTTGTATAAATCTGGAGTATTTTCTCAACTTTTTACCAAAATGTGTAAATCCCTTCAGTATGCACTACAAATTTTGAAAGATAATTAAAATTGTGTATGATCACTTACTTCTTACCTGTTTTAAAATATATATATAAAGGATGTTGTTACACTTTAGAAACAAAGGGTAGTTGCACATTATGTTACTATGATTTATCTTTCATAAAACCGTTGTAAAAAAAGTGGAGAATAGGTCACATAATTCTTGATAAAATAAACTTAGTATAAATTTGATTGTTTTTAAATTATCTAAATTTTTCTTCTTGAAGTTATATAATTGAAATAACGTTTCGATGTTATAAACTTTTAGGATAACGATTTTTTTATCTTAATCGACATTTCTGAAATTGAAATCCTTTGATGAGTCGTGTTTTAAACATTTTGTCTTTATAATTGGTTTCATTAATCTTATTAATATAACTTTCATAATAGTTCTAAATACATTTTTAATCTTTTGCGCATATGAAGATTAATTTTGGATATATAAAGATTATTTAATATATAGATTTCGGACTAACCGATAGTGGTTCGTAATAGGGATCGCAAGGAATTGCACAAAATTCAAATAGAACGTCCGGGCAAAAAGCATCTTAAATAGTAAAGAATCAGTTCCAACAACACTTTAAAACGTTTACTAATGACTGCTAAGGCTGTACACATATAAAAATGCACAAAAAAGTATGCATGTTAGACTTACAAGGAAAAGTAAATCCGCTCAAAACGGCTCGTTTGTAATAATAATAACTATTCTTCTCTTGCCAACTTACAACAAAACAGCTTGTTATATTGCACCCAAACCTTTTGTAGAACACTAAATAAGGTACTGCAAAGGTCGTAGGGGTATTTGTTTTTTCTATATTTTACATAAGCTAAGAAACATCATAATCCTAGTGTAAACAATGTTTTCATTACACCTTAAAGTTAACTTTCTTATAAATATCTGGTGTTCCTTTAAAAAGCTTAAGTACAAGGTGAGACAGGAATTACTAGCAAATACTAAATGAATATTGGATGATTGTAACATAAGGGCACTCAATGCTTTGTACACTATGCAATCGGTGTCTTTAGGGAGCTAACTCCTATATTATGTATGGAGTGAAGGAGTAAAAAAAAACTCAATACACACATTCGTAGAATAATTACTTAAAAAAACAAGAATGTTTATTTAAAGCGATGTTTTAGACGTATATGTTTAATTTGAAAAGGCTGCTTTTCTACTGGTAAAAATATATACGCATTTAGTGGGGATTGTGTCTTACTTTAGGTATATACTTGCCCATTGCTATGCAATATATATAGAGAATTTAGTTACACAGGAACTATAAATGCCCACTATATTCTCAAACAAATTTCCATAACAATCTCCAGCTGCAGCTTAATATTTTACATGTCGAACTAATGCAATCAAGTAGTCAATAGCTACAGTAAATCACCATGAACTGTATCAGCTAGCTATTAACTATGTTTATCATTACAATGTATAAAGTTAGCTATAATATCAAGTAACCCTTTGCTAATAGTTGAGCATAAAAAAGCCAGCAAACTAGATAAATAAAAAATTTTGAATTAAAAACCTGCTAATAGGGATGGTAAAAAAGTAAGGAAACAGGGCTGGAGATACTGTAGATATTATTTACTCAAACTAAAAATCCCTATTTTGACTCCACCAAATGTAATTCTAGGTAACAGCATGGAGCCAAAATATGGGTTTGTAGTTTAAGTAAATACCGCAGGCTTATAAATTTCAAATTCTTTTATCTATCTTGTCGAGATTATGTTCGAATTTATCGAGAGTGCAGCGGAAATATCTAACTAACAATTCTTTACACTCAAAGGATTACATATTTTTTTGATATAGTTGTATTACTGAGCTTTTAAATTTTGTAAAAATTAAAGCCTTTAAACGTACGATCACAAAAGTTGATATGATATGAAAATGGCACACTTCTTAAAAATCCGTTGTCTCGAACACCATATATAATAACTGTGTTGTGTCTTAGATTACTCTATGAACCAAGCTTTCGTATGAAAAACGAAATCTGAAGCTAATTTGCTTAAGGATTATAAAATTTTCGCATTTATCAATTCGTCTTGTTGGTTGTTACTGACTGCTAATACTTAGGCGCACTTAGTTGTTTTTTTTCTCTCTCTCTTTTTTCATTTGATAAAAAATGAACGACACCTGATTGTGTGAAGTACAGTGCGTTACATGATCGATTGCTTTTGCATCCCAGATTTGTTAATATTGATAAGTGCATGCCATAAAATTTATTTTTTCACCTGAACGACTTATTATGCACTCAGTAGGCTAAACGGCCAAGTCAGAACTCCTATTTTAAAGTTCAGGAAAGAGGAACAGAAACCAGTCAATCAACTATACTTTTAACCGAATAGCAGGATTAATTGTCACTCTTCTAATGAAAGTGCGAAGCGTTTTTGGTAGCAAAGCGTCTCAAGCACTAGATGACGGATCTCACTGCCATGCAGTCTAGGTTGCAGTCAGGCCTGTTATAAACAGCAAACATATGGGCTGTTACGCCTGCTCCTCATCAACCTATTATGAAAAGTCACTGATGTTTGTAGCTTCATTTTTATCAACTAGTACGCGACTAAAAGTAATAACTAAAACACATTGTTGTTTCAAAATATGATATATATATATATATATATGCATACATAGGGAGAGTATGGTTGGAATTAAATAAAATGTTGTGAATACATTTAATGTTTTTTAGAATAGTGAATTTTACAAATGGGAAATAATTTTGAAAATTACGATAATTTTTAATTCTCACACCAATGTTCAGATTCCAAAAACAAACAATGCTCTTAAACTACTTTGAAAAATTAAGTAGACAAACATTGTTGCTATTCATTTATCCAAACTTCAACAGAGTCTACAAGAAACCAACTGGAAACCAATCGCAGTAAGTAACAACTCACATTTATCAATCAGAACTTGTTTGAGTTTTTCAGTAGTGTATGGGTTTACGAAAAAAATAACATTTTATGCTATTTTGACGAGATACCAGTGTAATACATCAATAACCGTCTAGTTCGAAAGCTTCTGTTTGATTTAACCTATTTGTTTGTTTTTGAATTTCGCGCAAAGCTACACGAGGGCTACTTGCACTACCCGTTCTTAATTTGGTAGTGAAAGATTAGAGGGAAGGGTGTTAGTCATCACTATTCACCGCCAAGTCTTGGACTATTTTTTTACCAACGGATAGTGGGATTGACCGTCACATTATAACGCCTCCACGGCTGAAATGGCGAGCATGTTTGGTGTGACGGGGATTCGAACCTGAGACCCTCAGAATGCGAGTCAAGTACCCTAACCACCTAGCCATGACAGGCCTAACTTATTTGATTTGGCTCATTTGGCTAACACTGATAGAACAAGTTTTACATTTATATAAACTTTAAACATTAATTTAAGTAATTATGTAAATTAAAATTAACAGTTTTCTTGAAATCAATTATATATTTCCTAGTGAATCCAACGTCTCCTGGTTCCCAGTGGCTCAGCGGTAAGCCTGAAGGCTTATAACGTTAAAAACAGGGTTTTGATAACATACCCGTGGTGGGCACAGCACAGACAGTCCATTGTATAGCTCTGTGCTTAACATCTAACAAAACAAAACAACCCTTCCTGTACGAGGAAGTTTAGATCGATTAATAATAAACAACATCGTTTAAAAAAACGTGCAGCAAGTATTATTTTGTTTATTAAATTTTCCAACTTTTAACCTATAAAATCATTATGTACAATTTCTTAATACTTTTTTAATAGATGAAAAATAGTTTATTTTGAACTTTGTTTTATTGCTGAGCGCAGGTCTGCGCCCAGGGAGCTATTTTTGCTGCACCCGCCACAAGGTTCGAATTCGGACCACGAATATAAACGTTATAAACCATGAAGCTTACAGCTAAGACACCGAGGGTCATGTTTTATACAGAGTCGAATATAATTTAATAAAACGCCAATAACACCTTTTAATTTTTTGTGTTACTGGCAATTTTTCTGGAATATTCCTTACTTATTATCCATTTTTTAAATATAATTTTCAAATATATTTTATATTTTCTGTTTGTTGTTAAGCACAAAGTAACACCAAGAAACCCGACTTTTAGCATTTTAAGCCTATAGACCTACCGCTTAGCCACTGGGGGCGAATTGTACACCAACGAAATGACAAATTGCTTCTAAAACACTTGATATGCTATTTTAGTTCTATTTTACTCAACTAGTATTCAATAAAGTATCGCCTGGGAGATGTGGTTTCAAGTGTGTTTGTAAATTGTTAAATATTACCAACTTCTCAGAACGTTAAGTAACTACACGAAACATCGAGTGAAATAATAAGACAGAAAGGATTTAGTATGGTTAATCGTTTCCCTCCAAAATAGTTTTTATTTTAAGACTTCCTTTTTTGCTCACATAGATCATTTCGTATGTGACATGCCATCCTTTTATGCCCACATAGATCATTTCGTCTGTGACGTGCCAATTTTGAATCTGAAAACAGTGGTGTTGGGAACAATATGAAACAACAATAACTGAGGAAAATAATCAAATTACACCTCGACCGAAG